TCGCGGGGAGGCAGGGGGGGGGGGGGGGGAATCTGGTGCTGGGGGGGTCAGCTTCAAAGCTGGTTCGCCCTAGTACCACCTCTATGGTGCCGCCTGCCCTCCCACCCCCACTGCTGACACGAAGCAGCCTCTGCCAGACATTGCTCCAGCAGCAGCCTCCTGGCCACAGGCAGAGGCTGCTCCAGCAGCTACCCATCGGTTGGAAGGGGGGGGAGAGGGAAGGGGCTCTCCCAGCTCTCTGCTGAGACTGCCCTGCAGACAGGGGCTGCTGGACCCAGCACAAACCGGGACTGAGCAATCCTGGCTCAGTCCCAGCTTGCACCAGGTCCAGGAGCTACCCCTACTGCAGCCCTGCAGTTTAAATGTAGCAAGAGCTGGGCTGCCTGCACATCCAGCTCTTACTACATTTAAACTGCAGAGCCGCAGCAGGAGCAGCTCATGGACTCGATGCAATCTGGGACTGAGGAAGCCTTCCTTTATTGACTAATCGTGTAGTCAAAACTTTTATTGACTACACGAATAGTGGAATACCCACCTCTTAACATCCTTAGCCAACACCACCTCTTACGACCAGCTGCTTGAGCAGTCAGGTAAAGCCGGAGTCCTGATCCACTTTTGTTTTTTAATAGGAAAACTGTTCCCTCATCTTTCTCCAGGTCTCCAAACTCAGAGAAGTGAAAGAATTATCACATCCAGAGGCCATTTACTCATCTCCAAGCTTCCCTTTCATTCATTATGTACAAAGGATAACTCTTTTGAAGGCACTTCAGTTCTACCAACAACAGGCAGTCCCCGGGTTACATGGATCCGACTTACATCAGATCCCTACTTACAAACAGGGTGAGGCAACCCCGCACTAGCTGCTTCCCTCCAGCAGACCAGGGAGACGCGAAGCTAGCGCCTCTCCCAGCAGACCAGGGAGACGCGGAGCGGCTTTTCTCAGCAGACACCTCAGCTTGAGAATAAAGGACTGAGGGAAGTGAGGTGTGGGAGAATAAAACTGAGCTCTGGAGAAATGTTTGGCTAGAGTTTCCCCTACAATATGTACCAGTTCCGACTTACATACAAATTCAACTTATGAACAAACCTACAGTCCCTATCTTCTGCCTGTATACATCTTATGTGGTGGCAGCTTTATTTGAACAATTAAACATGTAAGTGCCCTTGAATCTAGGAAGTGAATACTCGAATTTTATTCAACAACAGCTGATGCAACTAAATACAAAATAAACATGATACATTTTGTATGAAAGAGTACAAAGATGACTCAGCAATTTTCATTTAAACTGACACGAGCCAAAACAGATTTAGAAAACCGTTGTTAAGAAGTGATGCTAAGGACTGACTTATATGAACTCTCACTGATTTCCTGCCCCTTAGCCATCAAGAGACTGCTGCATAGTCAGAAAATTCAGTCCAACTAAAGCAGGGGTCAGCAACCTTTTCAAACTAGAGAGCCAAACTACATGAAAATTCAGAACAAATGGTCATAGAGCCATATAATAATGCCCATTTGCATAACTGAAAATATACAACTTAATATTATTGATAATTGACATAATGATTAATAATATCATAAATGAAACATTGTACTCACAGACTTTATTTAATGGGACTTCTGTTCCTACATCTTTTCGCATGTTGCTTTGAATTTTACATCATAGCTGGTAAAATCCAGCTTCATGCATGCATTCAGGCTGTTAATCTTATGACAGGGAAGTAGGGATTCGGGGGTGCAGGAGTCTGCACTGGGGTGTATGACAGACTTAGGGCACAAGTTTGAGGAGTGGGAATGCAGGAGTGTTATAGCAGGGAACTGGGGATGTGGGGGTGCAGGAGTCTGGGAATGTAGGATATAAGGGGCTCAGGGCAGGGGGTTCAAGTGCATGATGGGCTCAGGGTTGGTGTACGTGGGGGGTGCAGGAGTGTTATGACTCTGATGGGCCCCAATTGGGGGCTTGTTGGTCAGGCTTTATTTTTAAATCAAGTAAAGTAGTACGTCCAACACAAAAGGTTTCAACATTGTCTTCATTTATGGCAGGAGTGGAGGAGCTTTTTTTATGGGTTGGGGGCCACTGACCCATAGAAAATTCAGTTGGGGACCACATAAGTGAGAAGGAAAAAACCTTCCAAATCCCCCCAACCCTCACTAGTGTGGCCCCCAATTGAAACACCTCACTCCCCTGGTGCTTCAGCTTCATGGTGGGGGTGAGGGGCAAGGAAGACTGATGTTCAAAGCCTCAGGCCAGATTTACTCTTCTAGGGTTCCAAGGTTAGTGGATTTTGTGGGATCCCCTAGGCTAGGGGGTGGAGCCAAAAACAAGGGGTTAAGTGTGCAGGACTGGGCTGCCAGTGACTTAATAGGGATGGGAGCGCAGGATCTGGATGGGAAGCAGGGTGTAGGAGGGGGTGAGGGTGCAAGGTCTGGGTGGAAGGTAGGGTGCGAGAGCAGGTTGGGGGTACGGTGTGTGACAAGGGGAAAGAGGGGAGGAGCAGGCTAGAGGCAGGGGGGTTTGGTGGGGGAGTGAGCGGACTGGGGGTGCAGGGTCTCAGTGGAAAGGGTAGGGGGGGAGAGAGGATGCTGGGTCTGGGCAGGGGGGGGGGGGGGAAGCCATTTCTTTGCTTCTGCACCACGTCACAAGCACTGCGTAACATGCCTCCTGCTGTTCCCATTCACCGGATTCTGGTCAGCGGCAGGAAGTGTGTCCCTGAGAGGCTGGTCCCTGGACCCGGGAAGGAAAGCTGTGTGGAGCCATTTTTGGCTCCGCTTGTTCCCCGCCACCCTGGCCCCGGAGGCAGGACTGGAGTGGGGGATGGCTTGGGGCTCTCCCCCACCCCCCCGCCTGCCCGCCCCCCCCCACCCTGGATCCGGAGGCAGGACTGGAGTGGGGGATGGCTTGGGGCTCTCCCCCACCCCCCCGCCTGCCTGCCCTCTGATCTCTGGCACTGGTGCTTCAATCTTATGGAACCGTAAGGCTGTAGCATCAGCCTGCTGTGAGGGGAGCTGGGGGGCTTGAGCTAGAGCTCCAAAGGAGCCGTATCTGGCTCCCTAGTGACCCATATTTGACTCATGGGTCATAAGTTGCCAACCCCTACACTAAAGGAAAGCAAGTGCATCACTCAGCAGCATCCCCTTTATCTTAACAAAAAGCCCTACAGGCAGCAGCAGGGAACCTTTTTTGGGTCGGGGGCTGCGCACAATTGAGAAGAAAAAACCTCTCACTACATGGCCCCTCACCGAGAAGTAGAAAGACACTTCCCACATTCCCCTCACACACCAGAGCCTAGAGGGGCCCAGACTAGGAAATTCTGTATGCTCCAACTCAGTGGTAGGGTGGGGGAGCCCTGAGTCTTGGGGGCCAGACCCAGGTAAGCCGGGGGCCACATCCAGCCCTAGGGCCTGCGGTTCCCCACCCCTGCCATATGGAATATGTCAGATGCTCCAATCCATAAAGCCAAGGAGTAACACGGGCACTGCCAAGCAGTATTCCCTCATTTTTTTAATCACTCCGGGGCAGAATGAATTTTCTTATGTGCACCAATGTGGAGGTGAGGTGTGACACATCACCTTTATATTGATGCACATAACAAAATTCATGTGGTGGGAAAGGGACCAAGAAGTTCTGAGTGTGGGCGGGGGCTCAGGGCTGAGGAAGAGGGTTGGGGTGCAGAAGTGTGCGAGCTCCAGCGGAGGGTGTGGGTTCTAGGATGGGGCTGGCACTGAGGGGCTCAGGGCTGGGACAGAGAGTTGGGGTGGAAGGGCTCTAGCTGAGGAATTCCAGGTTTGGGAGGTGCTCTGGGATGGGGCTTGGGATGAGGGCTTTAGGGTGCAGGAGGGTACTCAACATAGAGCAGGGAGTTAGGGCGCATGCTTATCTGGGTGACTCCCTGCAAGGGCAACAAGGAGGGGGTCTCCTTTCCCCCCAGCTGTGACAGCTCTGTGCTAGGGCCAGTTGAGAGAGACTCCTTTCTGCTGGCCCCAGCAGCTACAAGACTTGGGGAAGAGATCTCTCCTCACTGCAGCCACAAGCCCCTGCGTGGGGCTTAAGGGGAAGTCACGCAGCCATGCAGCTTAGAGGGACCTTAGCTGCCTAGATGGGACAGAGAAAGGATTAAAGGAAAAGAGAAGACAAGGCATACCTGTAGCATGAGATGCTCCGATCATTCTTCCTCGAATCAGCCCCTCCCGCTTTTCATTTCTTACCAGCTTCGTGTTTCCTGGAAGATGTTTTTTGATATATTCTTCTAGGTCTTTTTTCAGATCCACTGCAAGCAAGAAAACAAATACAGGGAGCAAATTTAGTGATAGCTTCACCATAGCTACCATGGAGAATAAAAGCAGCAACACAGTGTAGCATGCAAAGTGGTCAAAAAGGTCCTTTAGGAGGACTTTATGTCAGAGGACAAGCTTCAACACAAATTCTGTTCAAGTCATTCAAGGCACTACACCCAGTCCCATGTCCCCTTAGCCACTTTCTGTAGTTTTGCAATCACGTTGCTTTGTTAAAGGTTTCTCTTTCCTCTATGGCTGGGAGAGAGAGCTATGGAAACTCAATGGCAAATGGCTAAACAGGGAAAAGGCTGAAACTGGCCCAGTGCTGTGTGCTGACAGCGCAGCCCATCATTCCTACTAATATTGTCTCAATGTTTTCTTGTGCCTGTATCCATCGGTTGGTCCCCACCTGCTGTCTCTTACCATCTTCTTTTGCTCTGTGTTTATTCAGTGCCAAACACAGTATGGTCTTGGCTCAAGAGCATCATGTCCTCATAAAATATGTACCCTATCTACATAAGCATTAATGAACACAAAAAAGGGACTCCCTCTCTCTCACCTTTCCAATGTAACTATCATCTTAGGTGTTTATTAGTAATAAGTGAGGCGATCACACAACTGTCTGAAAGTTATCACCATGGTAAAATGCCTTGATGCCTTAGTTGTTCCCCCCTTGCCCCCAATCATCAACTCAGCAGGTAGGAATAATGGAAGCATGAGGCCATCTTCTCTCTCTGCTTTTGCAAAATAACATCCAGCATCAGATATTTGAAGTAGTTCATGCTTCCAATTGCAAGCGATAACCTTCCAGAACCTAAGACGGATGAGACACTCCTGACAAAGCACATACTTTTGAAGGAGAGCAGAGATTATTACAGCCTAAATACTACAGTAATACAAGTATATAACGCTAAGAGGCATTGTACTTCCAGAATCTTTTCAATGCCGACGTTTACCACATAAAGGAAAGGCAGGCATCTGGCTGTTGTCATTGGAAGAATGACTGAGGAAAGCCATAATACTAGAGAAGGGTAACAGAGGACTCAAACATGGAAAGAAACAAGTGAAGTCACAGTGAAACAGCCTACCAGTTGGGATTAGGGATGTAAGCAACTAATCCACTATGCGATAAGCATAAACTTATCGGATAGTCAAGTAGTGACTCAACTAGCTGCTTTCCCCCTCTGCTGCCTCTATCAGAGAGAAACAGCAAGCAGGGGACAGGAGCTTCTGCTGGGGAAAGCTGCCTTAAAAGCCAGTTCCTACCAGCACCATCTCTGCAGGGTCATAAGAATGGCCATACTAGGTCAGACCAAAGGTCCATCTAGCCCAGTATTCTGTCTGCCAACAGTGGCCAATACTAGATGCCCCAGAGGAAGGGATCACAACAGGTAATCCTCACGTGATCCCTCCCGTCACCCACCTCCAGAGAAACAAAGGTTAGGAATACCATTCCTACCCATCCTGGCTAACAGCCATTGATGGACCTAACCTCCATGAATCTATTTAGCTCTTTTTTGAACCCTGTTAAAGTTCTAGCCTTCACCGCATCCTCTGGCAAGGAGTTCCACAGGTTGACTGCACTGCGTGAAGGAAAACTTCCTTTTGTTTGTTTTAAACCTGCCACCTATTAATTTCATTTGGTGACCCCCAGTTCTTTTATTGTGGGAATAAGTAAATAACTTTTCCTTATTCCCACACAAGTCATGATTTTATAGACCTCTATCATATCCCCCCTTAATCTCCTCTTTTCTAAGTTGAAAAGTCCAAGTCTTTTTAATCTCTCTTCATATGGGACAGATTCCAAATGCCTAATCATTTTTGTTGACCTTCTCTGAACCTTTTCCAATGCCAATATATCTTTTATGAGATGAGGCGGCCAAATCTGTACACAGTATTCAAGGTGTGGGCCTACCATGGTCTTATATAGAGGCAGTAAGATATTTTCTGCCTTATTCTCTATCCCTTTTTTAATGTCTCCTAACATTCTATTTGCTTTTTTCTCTGCTGCTGCACACTGAGTGGATGTTTTCATAGAACTATCCACAATGACTCCAAGATCTTTCTCTTGAGTACTTGTAGCCAAATTAGTCTATATATTGTATATATATAGTTGGGATTATTTTTCCCATGTGCATTACTTTACATTTATCAACATTAAATTTCATTTAACATTTTGTTGTCCAATCACTTAGTTTGATGAGATCTTTTTGAAGCTCATCACAGTCTGCTTTGGTCTTAACTATCTTGAGCAGGTTAGTATCATCTGCAAATTTTGTCACCTCACTTTTTACCCCCTTCTCTAGATTAACACTAAATGACTCAGTAATAATGGGGGATTTCAACGATCACCATATTGACTGGGTACACATCACTTCAGGATGGGATGCAGAGATAAAGTTTGATACCTGAAATGACTGCTTCTTGGAACAGCTGGTTCTGGAACACACAAGAGGAGAAGCAATTCTTGATTCAGTCCTAAGTCCTAAGAGGTACATATAATTGATTCACTTGGAAAAAGTGACCATAATGCAGGCCTAGGCAAAATGCAGGCTCCCCTGCTCGCCCCGCAGCCCCGGGCAGAAAAGCGGCTGCAGGTCTCCATTTCTGTTTTGAAACTAAAGGGAAGGTGGGAAGTTTTAGGAGCTGCTCCGCTCCCAGCACATTCCCATTGGCCAGTTTCTGGCCGAAACGGCCAATGGGAGTTGCTTGTTAGAATAACATGCAGCTAAGAAGAATCACGCACCCTCTCTTGGGCTTAGTTATTCAGGAAGCACATGGCCAGGCAAGCAGGCAGGCAGGCTGGCAGGGAAACATTTTAAGCTCTGCAGGCAGGGATGCTAGTTTGGCAGCTGACAAGTAAATCTCTTGGCCACAGCCTGCTTCTGGCACCCTAGCCCTTTTCTTCCCCAATTCTCCCTGCCCCCCCACTCAATATACCCAAATCCTCTGTCCCCCTCTTGCGTCCATACCTCCTCCCAGATCTGGCACCCCAATCTCCTGCCCCAGATCACAATCCCCTCCTACCTAGGTCACATCCCAAACCCCTGCACTCCAGTCCCCTGCCCTAGGTCACAACCTCCTGCTTCATCCCAACTCCCTCCCAGACTCTAGTCTTTCTCCTGCACCCCAGTCCCTGGAGTTGCGGAACTATTAACTGTGATTTGTAACCTATCCTTTAAATCAGCTTCTGTACCTAATGACTGGAAGATAGCTAATGTGATGCCAATATTTAAGAAGGGCTCTAGAGGTGATCCTGGCAATTACAGACCTGTGAGTCTAATGTCGGTACTGGGCAAATAAGTTGAAACTATAGTAAAGAATAAAATGGTAAGACACATAGATGATCATAGTTTGTTGGGGGAAAGGCAACATGAATTCTTTAAATGCCTCACCAATCTGGTAGAATTCTTTGAAGGGATCAGCAAGCATATGGACAAAAGGGATCCAGTGGATATAGCGTACTAAGATTTCCAGAAAGGCTTTGACAAAATCCCTCACCAAAGGCTCTTAGGTGAAGTTAGTTGCCATGGGATAAAAGAGAAGGTCCTCTCATGGATTGGTTAAAAAGTCCTCTCTTAATTGGTTAAAAGACAGGAAAAAGGATAGGAATAAATGGTCAATTTTCAGAATGGAGAGGGGTAACTACTGGTGTCCCCCAGGGGTCCGTACTGAGACCAATCCTATTCAATGTATTTATAATATGATTCCAAGATCTCTCTTGCATGTTTATAGCTAAATTAGTCTGCATAATTTTGTATGTACAGTTAGGATTATGCTTTCCAACATGTACTACTTTGCATTTATCAACATTAAAATTCAATTGCCATTTTGTTGCACAATCAGTATAGCCATTCTTATGTTATGCAATCAGTCCTAAAGACAGCTGTGGATCAGGCTCAACCACAAATCCTCAGTCTCTACATGGCAGAACTCTGATGATCCCCACCCTGCTCCCTGTGGAACAGCCTGCTGCTGAGCCTGCATAGAACCATGGAAACAGAAGCCGCCCCAGAGCCAGAGAAGTATATGTACTACTACAGCAATGGAGGGATTTCTGCTGTAAGAAATATGAAAGGTCTGAAGCGACAGAAGACGACTTTGCAGAGAGGGCGCTAAACAGCCCCCAGTCCATAGAAAGGACATATGGAACAGAATACATCATTTTAATCTTACTATTGTCTCTGCACTTCTGTAACTGCAATTAACCCAGGCTGTGTCCAGACACAGTACAAGTATTAAAACATCCCCTTCATAGTGTGTGTTGGTTCAGTTTAGGAATGTCACACTTTATGTCTGAGTTTCCACAATCACTAACTCTATGCTCCTTCACTAAGCTCGACAATAAGCATGTGTATCTTGTCCTATTTCTGGCCTTCAACCTCTACTGCCTGCTGTTCTTCAGGGACTCCAGCCCAGCCCACAGTACTAACGATGTGGAGGTATCAGTTAAGTTAACACTTATCCCTCTCCTGAGAGCTCATGTGCTCCAGCCTCCAGAACCATTTTCGTTGGACTCTGCAGGACATTCTTCCATTTGCCCATAACTTTTCTGTAATGCGGGGGTGGCCCAAACCAGATGCAGTTCTCCAGATGTGGCGTCATCAATGCCGAATAAATGGGAATAATCACTTCCCTCAATCTGCTGGCAACGCTTCTATGCAGCCCAATAAATCATTAGGAAACCTGAATCTCAAAGCCAGCTATTACCTCTGGAATATCTTTAAAGCCTGCCACCGCAGGGTAAACCACATTCCTGACTGCCTCAGAAACCTCAGACACCATCCTACTTATTCAACTTTCCAACCCCAAAGTGGCTGGCAATGGATCTGGAGCCGTCTGGGATAGCCAGCTCCCAGCGAGTTACAGCAATGTTCATCTAGACAGTAAAGGTGATCTCATAGCAGCCTCTCTACACTACAGATGGGAGCAAACAGCTAACCAAAAACCAGAAATGTGGCTTTCTACATGTGGCCCCACTAGCCTGTGCTTG